GAAGTAGTCGAGCGTGTTGACCACTTCACTTATCTTGGGAGTCTCATCAGTGCTGATGGCCTGGTGACTGATGAAATCTCAGCTCGGATACAGAAAGCTCGATTGGCTCTTGCCAACCTGCGTCACTTATGGCGTAGGCGAGATATCCTCTTATTAACCAAAGGACGAGTGTTCTGAGCAACAGTTCGCTCTGTCCTGCTGTAAGGATGCGAAACATGGCCGTTAAGAGTAGAGGACATTCGTTGGTTACTGGTTTTCGATCATAGGTGTCTTCGAAGCATTGCTCCCGGGACATCCGAGTGAGCAACGCTGTTATTAGGAATCGGGTGCTAGGTAAGAATGGCAGATTAATAGATGAGGTAATGAAACTTCATCCGTTGATGTGGTTGGGGCATGTGTTACGTATGCCTAACCACCGACTGCCTCGTCGAGCTATATTTTGTGGTGTAGGAGTAGGTTGGAAGAAAGTTAAGGGCGGCCAAACCAAAACATGGCAGCAATCCATGAAGTCACTGACAAGTGGACTGAGTCATGTTGTTAGATGATGGGGCATGGCGACCTGAACTGATGTACTTATGTACGAAGTTCTGCGTTGTATCTGTCTGTCTGTCTTAAAATGATTAAAATCATTTTTAACTTAACGATGTGTGCATTTGACAATATTTTGTAGTCTTCATAGTCAATATTGAATAAAATCAGTTTTATGATAATTATTATCTACTGAAAGCTGAAATAAACGTTTCAATGTTGTTTAAAATGTAACATATTAATTCTGAAAGGTTTTGTTATCACTTGGTACATTTACAATTCTGTTGAACTGAATGCAAAGTGGTTATCTGACTTTTTTGAATAATTGCTGTGACAACCGGTACAAAGGAGTACGCCACATGAATCAATCATATTTTGTGTGGGCCAGGATGGTCAACGTTTGTCGAAACCAAACTTGGTAATTTTCTTAGAGAAGGACTCAATGATCTGAAGATGCAGTCTCTTGGTATCAAACAGCCTTTAATTCTGTCAGGGTAGTGGAGCCCATGTTAACCAATGATTTGTGATCAGAGTTTTCCAACTCCCTCAAATGAATCCTTAATACTTGTTAACACGGTCTAGGCTGTGATAGAACATTCTCCTTTCGTTCTCTCAATTTCTTAAACGATACCCCTACCGTAAAAATATAGTAAATAGGACTTGATTGTGAGTAGCCATACACGTGAGGTGTTTTGAAATCATTTTGAGGAAGATAGAGAAAGCTTTCCCTACTCTCAACTGTAGGGTTACCAAATAAAAGACTCTATCAAAAAATTCTAATATATTTGACGTAAGTTTACAATTTTTTCTACTGAAGATAGATTCTTATGTTTGGCTTACTAAATGAGACATCAAAAGGCGGGACTATAATATCTGACTATTCTTTCTGTTCGTTATTGATCAAGAAATTCATTTTATATCAAGCGTTTCATTGTTATAACATGCTGAGATTCTGAATTTCATGACTGGTAGTAGTGTAGTGAAGGAGAACACAGGTGAGGCGACCGAATTGTATTTGACGAAAATTACAGAGTTACTCAGTAAAATCGGAAAACCATATCGTAGATCGTTAATTTGCAAAATATCAGTCCATCATATCGAACTGCACTGTTCCTGTTGCAAAACATCAATCCATTGTCACTATTCATGCGTTTCATACAAATTCCATTGTGTTCTAACTCTTCCTTTCTTGATCTTCCCCCATCTTCTGCTGCCAGACATTACGTTGACACTCACGTCATATACTACTTACAAGTAGCTCGCACCACAGTATTTGTTGTCTTTGACTGTCACATTACACTTCCTATAAACTCTGATTATTTCAATATACAAATTTATTGTATCTCATTAAAATCACGAAACGATCGGAGATAGACAGCTATTGAAAACTTGGGAGTGCCGGGGGCCAATAGGTCAAGCATTGTAGTATGCACTATCCAGGACTCCGTAGTTGGAAATCGAACCCAGGACCAACTATTTCTAGCTCAGACGCTCAACCTTCAGACAGTCAGGTCTGATTCCAATGGTATACAAGTTCAACTATGATCAATACACATTTCTTCTGTGTAGTTAATCTTCTAGATTGATATTCTCGTCAACTGATATGCTTGAAACTATTACGAGTTCCTCTTAGTCGGTAAACCAGGGCGAAGACAGATGATCCAGTGACATGATAGGCTTCTCTAATCCAAGCGTCCCAAGGCCCCACTAAGTAGAGGAAGAAGTCTTGACAAGACGTAGAATGTGTATTCTACAAGCACCCAGAAAATACGAAGTTCACAAGCAAGCAAATCAAATTTATTTACACCTGATAGAAACGTTCTTGGGAGAGCCACAAAAATGTCGTACTAAAATAACACTATAACCAATAATAGCCAAGGGTTTTTCTGTCGAAGAATGTAACCTCAAGATCAACTGATCAGCCCTTGAGCGAAAACATAAAATCCAAAATTAGGACATTTATCAAGCGATTTCTGGGGATCGAACGACCACAAAAAAGATGAAAAAAAAAGTTACAGCTTGACATCTCCTATGGTATTGTTTAACAATGATAACCTTTTAAAAATAATTAATCTTGTATATGGCATTAACATTCACATATATTTTGGTCCGGAAACTTTTTTTCATTCATCCTAAACGGATATCTCTACCACTCTGATTACATGAATATCATTCATATGTACTGATTATTATAACCAAAGTTTAAAATTGACTAGTAAAAAAAATTATTCACATGAATTTCAATTCAAATTGTTACTTGTTTGATATTTTTTGTTTGTCAGAGGGCAAATATACCCGCATACTTTAAGATAATGTCAAATTTTGTTTGAACATTGTTCACATTAGAACATTGAACGCTTGTTTCTTCGTATCATGTATGACTGTGTGTGTGTGAGCGCGCGCGCGCTCGTTTATATGCGTTAGCATGACATTTTTAAAAAAAACTCTTTTCCGCTTGATGTAGAACTAGCGCTGTTTCTTTCATTCATACTAACCTTCTCTTTTGCATTCTTGATTCTTCATTTTTTTTTCTAGAAACTTCTTCTTCCATTTTTATCTTTAAATCATGTTTTATTTAATTGACCCATTTTAAGAAATGAAACGAAGAAGAATACATACCATAAATAGTTTTATAAACTATCTCAATACAATCTATTACGTTAATAATGAAGTATGGGGTGTACGTCACAAGATATGAGCGAACTCTGACCTTTTTTAAGGCCGGAAGAAGACAGGAAGACTAAAGAATATATTACGTCGGGAAGCGGACACATTAAAAACTATTGAATAGGATTTTGTGACAACTGAGAAGCAGAGACTAGGAGAAGGTAAGATTGGAGACTGATGGTTGACATTATATGCTCTATGGTGAATAAGGAGTCTAGCTAAAATATAGAGGTTAGTTTGAAGGCTTATGCAGCAGTCTCTCAATAAACAATGACAACTGTGATAAGATTATACTACTACACACAACAGCCAGTTCCCTAGCTTCTTCGACACTACGGCGTGTCTGAGAAGATAGTACACATCACACGAAATACTTAAGATGGATTAAACTGCGAAATCGTGCACGGAGGACGGCTCACAGACTCATTTGAGGTTGAGAACCGTGTCAGGCAAGGTTGTTTACTCCCACCCTTTCTCTTTCTCCTGTTGATTAACTGGATTATGAGGAAGTCAACGTCTGGCGGGAAACGCGAAATACAGTAGACAGTTAAGATGCAGCTGGACAATCCGGACTTCTCAAATGATCCCGCTGTTCTATCGCACACGCAACAGTCAGATCAAAAACAAATCCGTTGAATGAATTGATTTCAAGCTAAAGATTATACTGATAACAAAAGGATAGAGATTGTAGAAATCGTGTACACTCATTTTCTATTCATCTCATAGTGTTAATCAGTTATTATTTATTTTACTTTGAAATCATGAATGAATCATTGCTAGACCACCATTAGAAATCTGGAAACAATAAAAGACGACTTTTTCGTTCCACTATGGGACTCATCACTAGTGCGCATCCACGACTTCAGCCACTCATAGGATTCGAATCCAGGACCTTCAGTCTAGCGCACGAAAGCTTAACCTATGAATCACCAAGCTAGTATCTAGCAGTGTTATTGTTTAACTTCGATCAATCCACTGTCTTGCACAACCTCATTCACTCTCTTCACCTCGGTGGTCCAGTGGTTAGGTTTTTACCCCCAAGAATTGCTTGAGATTTTCACATTTCTTCCTGTGAAATCACTTCACAATGACGCATTAATAATTAACACGATCTCATGCATGAATGATATGCTGTTCTAAATTATTTCAATTATTCTTTGTTTAAAAAATTCTCTTCATAACTTCCATGTAATGTTGATAAACGTGTATTTGCATTACAGGGTTGTGAAGATTGTTAAGTTACACATTTTTGAAACCATGAATCGATCAATGTTAGACCACCACCATTAGAAACCTGGAAACACTGGACGGCCGTTTCGTCCTGGTATGGGACTCCTCAGCAGTGCGCATCCACGACTCCTGCACCCCACAGGATTCAAACCCAGGACCTTCGGTATTGTGCGCGAACGCCTAACCAGCGTATCACTGAGCCGGTATCTAACGGTGTTAATTCACGGAGTTGCGCAACCTCATTCACAGTCTTCAGTAGTTACTGTCTACACCCGAACAGGTTAAAATTCACTGGTCACGTCTTCCCACTAGAACTCGGAGAAGGTGATTCCTCACGAAGCTAGTCACTAGTGAGCACAGGTAATTTGCATTACGGGGTTCGAATCCTGTGAGGTGCAGGAGTTGTGGATGAGCACTGCCACTGAGGAGTCCCATACCAGGACGAAACGGCCGTACTGCAGTGCTTCCAGGTTTCTAATGCCGGTGGTCTAACATTGATCGATTCATGGTTTCAAAAATGTGAAACGTGTATTTATTTGTTGTTTTGTTGTGTTTTTTTCGCTGCTCTATTTCAGTTGTTTAGAATATGTTCGAATTTACGATAAGCTAGAATCTAACGAATTACAACAAATCAATACTGATCAATATAGTTTTGAATTATGCGGTACATTGGATGAATTGTCACAGCATCATTTTATTTCAAAACAGCACATTCTTATTATGGAAGCACGTTTATCATCTACTCTTGGTCTATTGAATTTAAATTATAATGGATTTTCGGGAAAATTTAAATTTGAACCAAAAAGTAGGTGCATTCAAATATCAATGATTTTATTAGTTTTACAATAAATTTTGGCGGTT